GGAAGGTGCCTCAGCGTGTCAGTAGCACAATGGTAGTTGAGAAATTGCGGGTTTGTATTTCCTTAAGAGCAATTCGCCTTTCATTTTTCTGGGATACAGTTTGAGGTAGTGCTTCTAAACGAGAGAAAGTAGGATACTACACGATACAGCAACGCTTCCTTTTCACTTACTGCCTTGTTAAGAAATGTCGATCCTGACCAGCAGCATCAGAATGGAGATAAAAGGTTTAGTATAACTTTACTGAACGGCAGTGCTACGAATGCCAGAAAGTGCGTGCACCCATCCAGTATGGCAGTAAGGCACATTCGAGCAGTTATGAGCTTTCTTTTTTTCCATATTTGTAGCAATAAGCAATAGGGAATTTTGATATGTGCCCAAACGTGACCTCGTGGTAGATTCAATAAAGAAAAAATAGGTGCTCTGCGGCTTATATATATAGCGATTGCAACCCTTTTGCTTAATGAAAGCGCATACATACTTGAATAGACTGCAAGAAACACGGTGGTGAGTATGAGTTGGGCATAGACGATTGGTGTTCTCTTCCCAAGTAGGTCCTACAAAATGCTTAAGCGTTGTACAAGGAAGAAGTTACGCTAACGGATCGACCAACCGACAGCACGCCAGCCAAAACGCCACCGATGATGCCGCCCCAGTCGTAGAAAGTCGAAATGGTGTCCGACAGTTCCTCTTGCCATCCGAAATTGTTCGTCAGGTAAAAAGGCAGCCAAAAGAAGATGGAATAATTGACCAACTTCAGACATGTGTATGCCAGCGAGTACTATACAGCAGAGGCTACGACTTTAAATGAACGTAGGTATTTAAAGTGAGTACCGCGATTACTCCTGGTAGCATAATGGCCTGGAACAGGCTTATGGGCTTCGCATCATCGTCAACGTCTTCCATATCGTTGATCTCTTCCGTACTACTCTGCGCTACCAAGCTCTTCTGGGAGTTACTGTTGCTACGGTCGTTAGCCGCAGTCGCTGTCAAGCCTATGTTGTAAGAATCAAGTCAATTAACCACTCGCCATCCAGTATGTACCTAAGTCCTCTGGAGATGAAACAGCGCCGAAAAACACTATGATCGCTCCTGCCACCAGCAAGCTTGAATTAGCCAAAAACGTGTACTGTGAAAAAATTAGAGATTAGATGATTCAAACGTAAGAAAGATCATCACAATCAAAACATTTGGTACAGAAGATGGTCGTTTCTTCTTATTAACAGCAATTCTGGCTCCTATTCTATAATATTTTATAAAAGTACGTAAATATGCTGGCTAGGGCATAGGCGATAATCTCTACCAGTGGCAGTCAACAAGTACACCAACCCTCTTTCCTTTGCACTCTTCTCCATGTTCTAACCCCTAAAATGAAAGCTAACATTGTTTAATCGTAATGTTATAAACAATATGGAAGGTGCGATGTATTCCCCTCTACCACATCTGTGTTTACTAAATTCCTAAAATCTATAAATTAGTTAACTTCAGTGTTGTTGTTGTCTAGAACCTTGCCATATAAAGGAGACCGAGAAATAATGATAGCGACCTCAGCACCGACTGAGTTTGGATCCAATAATTATCTGACATTTTTCGAAACTTCAAACAAGAAATTAAATCGTACATTACAAGCAGGTGTTTGTTTACTAAATATCTCCAGACTTATATGCTGACTTCCAATTCCAATTGAGCTCTGCAGAAAACCGTTCCCGTAAGATAAATATGTGTTGAACTTCATTATTTAACCCTTTGCTAACCTCATATCCGAAAGGCAAGATGGCGGACGCAAGTTCGGCTCCAATGATGTTCCCAACTGATGCACACGACGACCATATGCCAAAAATGAAACCTCGGCTGGCCTTGCCGAACCAATTGCCCATGATGCACACTTCAGCCGGCCACCCGGTGGATTGTGCCAGGCCGTTCAACAGCCATAAGCATACGTAGAATGGTTTCGAATAAAATTCCCACCACTCCGTAACGCACCCGAACAGTATATTCTGAAATATATTATTGCTTTGCATTGCAGTCAGTAAAATTGCGCGTAATTTCATATCAGATGCAGAGAACCGACTTGTTGGTGTACAAGTGGAATATAGTATAAGAATGCAGCCCTTCCAACGAAGGGTTTAAAGTATGGTGCAAGAATATGACTGTTCGAAATCTCTGTGTAACACTGAAGGTAGCCACAGAACGGGTGCCAGCAGTTCATTTTACATTTTTTAATATTCAGTGTAGAAGAAACTCGAGAACAGAGACGGAAAACATTGTTATGTTGACTGTATAATGAGAAGAAAGTATTGGAAGGCCGAAGCGTCCGATGACGACTAATCGACGATAGCAGTAAGCATAACTCTAGCGTAGGGCAGAGTCGCAACAATTAACGCAAATTGCCAGAGCATAATGCGCCGTATCCCCCCCACCTTTTTCGGAGGATAAACTGAATGCATGGACCTGGAATTTTTGGTCAACCTTCATTTTTTAAGCTTAGAATTTATGATTAACCATAATAAGGCAACTAGAATAATGGACTAGTGACAATAGCTAGGAACATAGCCATTCTTGCAGTTTGTTGACAAGAACTTGACTCTTCTGATGGTCAGATTTTGCAGTTCCTAGTTGCTGACGACGTTTCAGCAGATCACAGCGTTTGAACATCTGTATTAACGATAATAAACGCATGTGGGTCACTCTTCTGAACTTGTAGAGCGTAGATCCGTCTTCTCTTGTTTTCAGTCGCCCAACGGATGCTTTAAACAGGCTACTCTTCAATG